TGTGTGTGTGTGTGTGTGTGTGTGTGTGTGTGTGCGCGCGCGCGCGTGTGCGTGCGAGTATGTGTTTATGTGTATGTGATCGTGTGTGTATGTGCGCGTGTGCGTGTGTTCGCGTGCGTGTGTGTATATGTTCGCGTGCGTGTGTGTATGAGCGCGTGTGCGTGTGTTCGCGTGCTTGTGTGTATATGTGCGCGTGTGTATGCGTGCGTGTGTGTATGTGCGCGTGTGCGTGTGTTCGCGTGCGTGTGTGTATGTGCGCGTGTGTGTGCATGCGTATGTGCGTTCGCATACGTGAGAGAGAGAAGCACGAATCAAGATCTTCTCGTAGCGAAGATGCTCATGCTGTCTTCGTAGCAGTCAACCTCCTCTGTTAGTTAGTATCTGCACGATCTCACTATCATTGACATTCGTGTACATTTTACATTAGGGCAATACTTAACTGTGTACCGAACGTATTCTCTCTCGGTGTGTAATTTCTGTTTGAATAAACTCGCCGCTGATATGTAAACACGGTGGGCCAGTTCACTGCAAACCAAACCTTCTTTGATGTTCGAAAGCAAAGTTGATTGTGTTGACTTACTGCGCATTCACGGGTCTGTTTATTCTCTCGCTCGACCTCATCCCTGGCGTGTGTCTTTATTTGCTTTGTTAAGGGGCTCTTTAGAAAGGGATAAACTAATCCAGAAATAACTCAATAGATCTGATGAATGGCCCTCACGGCCCGCTAGCATTAGGCAATTGTCTCGGCTGCTTGCAAGCGTCTCTCTCTCTCCCTCGCTGTGTGTGTGTCTCTCCCTCGCACGCGTGCTGCCTCTCTCTGTCCACCCTTAGTTTAAACTCCCCTTTCATCGCGCTCGCAATCTCCATTTCTCTCTTCCCCTCTCTCTCTCTCTCTCTCACTCTCTCTCTCTCTCTCGCCCACAGACACATGCTTTCTCTATATCTATATCTATATCTATATTTTTTAATTTTTAATTTTTAATTTTTTTATTTCTTGGGAACAGAGAGAGCGAGAGCGAGACGCGCGAGGTCGCCCAAAATCTGCAGCAGACGTATACGTATCCGTGCAATACTCGCGGATCAAACATCGCGCTATATAGAAAAACACACATGCACTTACCCCAATGATCGACGTTGCCATGAAATGACGTTCCAGCCTTGCAGATGCGCCGTCGGTCGTGCTCGATCACAGAGTCGACGTGCCGAGAGCGAGAACCAAACGCGAGAGCGACGGAAAGCGTTCGTGCGACGCCGACGACGGGGGAGAGAAGGGGGCGGATCGACGACGAGGGGCGACGGACGGCCGCGGCGGCGCGATCCTCGTAGCTATGGCACCGCAGCGTGCGCAGCCGAGACGGCCGGTCGATTTACGAGTTTTTCGGAGAGGCAGAGAGAGAGAGAGCGAGAGATGCGCGCGTAGAGAAAGAGAGACAGAGAGCTGAACCCGAGGATGTGCTCGTTGGATCAGCTGTTCACGTGTGCGACAGATAGCGCGTTGCCTGCTTGTGCACGGGCTCTGGCAAGCGGAATGGCGTGCCGTGCTGCCGTCGGCAACCGAGAGACCGTGTTAGATGATGCCTGATGGCTCCGCAATTGTTCCGGCGTAGACGGGCGCGCGCGTCTCGCGCGTGGGCACTCGAGGCGTGTGGCGACGAGCGCGCGGGCCTCATCTAGCGAGCGAGAACCAATCCCGCTGCGGCATTGTTCGATTGATCGCCCCCGCCTGACAGCACCGACCCGGGACCATTGAAACGCGCTGACATCCGAACGTATGATAAGGTTATTCCTAAGTGTTCGCTCGCTAGAATGTACACCGGCCATGCGAGCGCGTGAAAAAGATGTGTGAAAGGAAACGCTGAAAAATGGGCGCAAAACAAGACGGACATATTGGCGCGCAGCTGTTATTTTACCTCTGCCGGCTGTTTTTTGGACGAAATGACAACGCATTAAGATTCGCGCGCTCGCTCTTCCCTTTTTAAGCCCATAGCGCTGTTCTCGCTTTCATCAAACCGTCAAAAGAGTTTTGCAACAATATAATGACAGCTTGTCTGGTATATGCGATCGGTTAGACTTAGTAGGGTTTAGCGAATTTTATTCTTTAATTTTATTTTATTCGACGAACGATAAAAGTTACGCGAACTCTAGCGATTGTCACCCATGTAAGCGAAGTGAACCACTGTCTAACATGTCGCATAACCTTTATATACGGCTAAAAATTATTATTCCGCGGTGGAAGCAAAATCCGGTGGGTGAAGAAACTGGTCGGTTGTGTGTAATCTTACTGGTTAAGCATGCTGCATTTACTTTTACGGCGCGGTGTAGCCTATGAATTTAAACATTTTATAACTGGCTGGCCCGCAGGCGTGCTTTAGTTGTGTCTGTATTATTCGTGACTGTTGATACAGGAACTTCAGAAGACCATTTCATGTTGCCGGGAGACCCATCATTAGCGTCGAATGCGCTTGGGTTGAAACTAGGCTATGCCCTCTGCGTATCGATGCTCTTTGACTTGTTTCTGTCGTAGAAAGCCGCGTGCGGTAATACATACCGCAGGTCCCGACACGCAGGCGACGTTCGTAAGGTAACCGACACTTCATGCCTAGACAAAACAACACGGCTAGCAGCCGATAGGTAATCATTTCCAGTGAACTTGTCAAAAATGCGCTCGAGGCCACGAAACGCGCTGTGGAAATTTTGGAAAGGGGAAAGCGATATATATACATCATATATATATATACATTATATATATATATATATATATATATTATACTATATATTATATTATATTATTATATATATATATAATAATTAATGTTTTTCTCTATTTACATTTGTATTTATAATTTGAGCAAACGTTTTCCTATCGCGGCATAATATTCTTTCGCGAGGTGTGGGATGCACGAGGAACTCGCGGGTGGTGTAGGTAAGGAGGGTTCGTAGCTCGCCACCAGCCGGCACGTCCACACTACCACAAATACCGAGCAGCGAGACGAGCATACGATGCTTACCACAGTCATACACTCACACGCACGCGCGCGCATACACCCGCACACACACACCCGCATACACACGCACATACAGATATACACACACACGCACACGCCACGTACGCACACGCACATACACATGCATATACACAAAATTACATACACACGCACGCACACACACGCGAGCGCACGCACACACACGCGAGCGCACGCACACACACGCATAGTCCGTGCACGGGAATACGCACACA